TCGACACGTCTGTCCAACAATTTTGGACTGCACAAGAAGAAAAAGGCATGAGATGGAGAGTGGTCACTAACCCATTTTGGAAGAGCAGCATAGTTACAATGCTTACAAAAACTTAACACTCGTAAGGGAAAGCAGGTGTTCAGATTTTCCGTTGATCTTTTCGATGTCGATGAATTTGTACTTATGTTTACAACTGCGTTTTTTATTTGAGATATTTAGTCATATATTTATTCTTAGCACTAATAATTTTTATAAATCATTTAATTTTTATAAACAAATCCAAAAAAAACCCAAAAAATAAGAGCTAGCCTATTGAATTTAAATTTGATTATTAAATTATTTTGATGCCACATTTAGTGTTTTGGGTTTTTTTTATGAGGTTTTGGGGTTAAGTTTGTTTTAAGAAATTAATGACAATTTTGTAATTTAAAAGAAGTTAAAAACTTTTTTGCTATGTTGTAAATAGACTTTGGGTGTGTTCCTGAAGTCCATTTCATATAATTTTTTTTTAAAGAAAAAAAGAAGTCGGAAAATCTAAATTTGTTGACGACCACTTTCAACCAGTAAGAGTAGGTCACATCATCGAGACGGATTAGGGAGTCCTTTCAACTATGATGTTTGTAAAAGCCACAATGGCTCCTATCGATAGAGATTCTAGACTCAACTCGTCCTAATAAGTTTAGCACTCAAGTTGAGAACTTAGTATATCAACTGCATATATGAACAATGGAAGTCTTTAACATAAGGCCTCATCGATTTGAAACTTCTAGCTAGATGGTGGAATGTAAACTTAGTATATCAACTGCATATATGAACAATGGAAGTCTTTAACATAAGGCCTGACCGATTTGAAACTTCTAGCTAGATGGTGGAATGTAAATATATTTCTTTTAAGTCCTGACTGCTATTTAATTGAAAAAGTGGCAATTTTAATTAGGCTACAACATAAGTAACTACATCCATCGGCTATCACTTAAACTTAGAGGTGTTAAATGGACTGGGCTAGTTTGACACAGTACGAACATGATTCGTTTAAGTAAGGCCTGGCATGACACGGTCTATATATTTGGACCGTGCCAGCATTGGCGGATCCACAGAGGCGCAAGGAGGTGCAACTGCACCTCCCCTCGCCGAAAGCTTCCTTTGGGATGCCGGAATTTGCCCATTTGCCAGTGACCACCAATTGTTCGACTAAATGCCTCAAAGACGTTGTTTTGTTTGCTGCTAAGTGAGACCCTGAATATTTACCTTAGATTGTTGGGCTCGATCTCACGAGCATGTAGGAGAAAACGGTTCATCAATCGGAGCTCCACAACCAAAGTTATGAATTTTCTAAGTTTTTATAGAATATGTGAAGTTAAGTTGCAGAGCCACAGTTCAAGGAAGAAGAAGACTCCTCGTCAGTGCTTCTCTATTTTTATTTTTATTTTAAATGGTCCAATAGCAAGCTAAAATATGTCTATTTCTAATTGGCCTAACTTAAAAAATTCATTAAAAACTCATATGTGTTCCGAAAAATTCACCGAAAATTACCCCAAACTTTTAATCACGTGTACTTTTATCTCGTGACCTCTAAATCACATGTGCTTTTGGTTAGATTAATTGGCATTGATTTTGGTTAGATTAATTGGTATTGACTTTTGTTAGATTAATTATGTAATTGACATGGATTTTGTTCATATTTGATATGAATTTTGGTAAACTAATTGTGTCACTGACAAGGATTTTGTTCATATTAATTGATATTCCATATAGACTATAATCAATTAGTTATAGATGTAAAACTCTTATTGTTTTAATTATGAATGACATTAGTTTTGTTTAAATTATAAGGGCATTTGTAGTTAGTCTATTATTATTTTTGATTGAATTTTTTTTAATTACCTTTTTTTTTTTTTTTTTTTTTTTTTTTTTTTTTTTTTTTAACTAACACCACATATTAGTACTTGAATCCAGGACCTTGTTTGAGTCCTTTGCGAATTTTTAGCCCTTCAAATATTGCACCTCCCCTGAAAAATTCCTGGATCCGCCACTACGTGCCGGAACGAGGTAATTAGATCTAATGAGCTAGGTCGGCTCGAAATCCAATGAGCTGACCCGTTTAAAACCAATTTATTAAATTATACTTGTTTTAGAGAAAAATAATACATAATATTATTACACTTATATCTTAAAATCAAGTATATTTATTTTTCTTTAATAATATATATTAAAATTTAATGTTATCTTTATATATCAAATAATGATTTTATTTTCAAGTTTCAATTTTCAAAGCCAAACAATGATCTAGCTGTTTTCTATTTAAATGTATTTTAAATAAAGTTACTGACCACTTTTTCTTAACAAATAACTAGCCCCTTGGCACATGCGTGATTGGTTTTTTTTTTTTTTTTTTTTTTTTTTTTTTTTTTTATTTTTTATTTTTTTTTTTTTAGAATTAAGAAAACATAGGTAGTTATGTTCCATAAAATATGACCTATTATCTGATTTTGTTTTTATTTTTAATTTTTTTAATATGAAAAATGTGAATTTACCACATTATCTTCATTTAATTAATAATTTTAATTCTTAATATTTGAATTAACCAATGACATTTTCTGGTATTTTGAATGTTTCACAATTCTTTGGCGTTTGCTTTATATATACATATAAATATTATTAGAATATACATAATTATAAAAAATTATTTACATGAAGTAGTAAAAAAATTACAAAAAATGCATTACGCAAGTCAAATTTGGCGTGGGCCCATATCGGCTCGGGCCGTGGACTTGGGCTGGAATTAATGATTTTCCTAAATAGACAGACCCTTTTATTAAATGAGCTGACTCTAAACGGCCCAACACGGCACGTTTGACACCCTACTCTCACTGAAAAACAAAACTCAAAGAGAAAATTTCCGCTTTGTAATTTTTTTTGGGTCAAAGTAAATAATTTATTTTCATGATAATAATAATAGTGTCCAAATCACACAAAAATGAGGTCCAATACATCTTCTATAATGACAGTCCCGATCACCTAAGGTCCTAAAAATGAGGTCCTGTAAGGTCCTATTTAATAACAGTCCTTGTTATACTCCTTGTCCCTCAAACACGCCTTTGTTTTGTAATTAATAAAATAAAATAAAAAAGAAGGGATGCATGGTTCTTCATCTTCCAGCTTCACCACGTCTTCTTTCTTCTATACGCGACCTTTTCTTGATTACGTATCCTTATCTCGCTTTTTTCTTCGCATCTACTGCTCGATCTTCTTAAGGAATATGACTTTTTCCACTTATCGTCTTCTTATTACCAGGTAAAATATATGTTCCCACATGTATTGTAAAGGACCATAAAGAATATGATCCACAAAGATGCGATGAGCTGCCTCAGTAGGATGAATTCTATCCCAGAAGAGATGGTCGCTTCTGTTGGAGAAATAAGTTGCAAATGGTAGGCGAGGAGCATCCGCATTAAGCTCAAGGCCAAGCAAGCAGCTTTAACCTCAGCAAATCCTGAATCATAATATTATTGATTGCATTAGAGTAATTTCTTTTTCGAAAAAAGAAGTAATTGTTAAAGGAAAAGGAAAGTAAATAATTTCTCAGATTTGAAGCGAGTTAAGAATCTGTGGCTACACTTCATCAAATTCACTCAATAACAAAGCAATGGCTTGAGGATGCCAATGCGAAATACAAGCAAGTGGCTGATGTGAAGCACCGACATGTCGAATTTGAGGTAGGTGACTTTGTTTGGGCTATCTTGACTAAAGATCGTTTTCCGATTGGGGAATACAACAAGTTGGTTGCAAGAAAGATTGGTCCAATGGAGATTGTGGCTAAGATTAATCCAAATGCTTAACACGTCAAGCTTGCATACTGCCGATGTGTTCAATGTCAAACATCTCTTTCCTTACCATGGTGATAGTTCTGACGAGGAAGATTTGAATTCGAGGATGAATTCTTCTCAACCCAGGGAGGATGATGAAGCACACATTGCTCATAATTTTCTGTTTCAATTTGATAGGAAAAGATGCATAATTAATGTTCTAGGAATTTGTTTTAGGAAAATATTTTTGTTTTCGTATTTCAATTAGAATTTGGAGTTAGGTTTAGGAAGTAAGTTTGTTTTCCTATTTCAGTTAGGGTTTTTAGTTTGGATTGTTTTCCTTAAGTATAAAAGCTATCTTATAGCTAATTAGAAGAGAGTTTTTTTATGTTGAATATTCAACTTAGAGAATTCTCTCTATTTTCCTATCAACTTGGTATTCCTTTGGAATCAACAAGGCATAGAACCCCTTTGTTCTTGGTTATTCTCATCTAGAGAATCAATAAGGATTGAAAGTTTATTGTTTTCTTTTGTAATTTTCATCATTCTTTTTATCACACGCCGCGTTAGAAACAATATCAAAACAAGTATAGAATTTAATTTCCACCAGCTATGATCAATTCTTGGTATAATTTAAGTTAAACGACCCTTTTAATCAAGTCGGCATTCTCTCATCTTCCTTTTCTTTTGTTTTAAAGATGAGAGGGGATCCAAACTTGCATGGTACCTCTTCCAACATTCAGAAAAAAAGAAGTCAGAAAATCTAAATTTGTTGATGACGACGTTCAACCAATAAGAGGTAGGTCACATCATCGAGACGAATTAGGGAGTCCTTTCAACTATGATGTTCATAAAAGCCACAATGGCTCCTATCTATAGAGATTCTAGACTCAACTCGTCCTAAGTTTAGCACTCAAGTTGAGAACTTAGTATATCAACTGCATATATGAACAATGGAAGTCTTTAACATAAGTCCTGATCGATTTGAAACTTCTAGCTAGATGGTGGAATGTATATATATTTCTTTGAGTTCTGACTGCTATTTAGTTGATAAAGTAAATACATCCATCCATCCCTTAACCAAATAAATAATAAGAGAGATAGACACATATTTGTAATATACATACAACAAGGAGTGATACGAAATAATTACGTCGCATGTATAAGTGTCATGCTTAATACATGTCAATGAGATTAAACGGCAACTAGCTTTTGCACGTTTATTGGGAAGGTGTATTGTAAGGGACCATAAAGAATATGATCCACAAAGATGCGGTGAGCTGCCTCAGTAGGATGAGTTCTATCCCAGAAGAGATGGTCGCTTCTGTTTGAGCAATAAGTTGCAAATGGCAGGCAAGGAGCATCCGCATTGAGCTTCCCAAGGCCACAGCAAGCAGCTTTAACCTCAGCAAATCCTGAATTATAATATTATTGATTGCATTAAGATAATTTCTTTTTGAAAAGAGAAGTAAGTGTTAAAGGAAAAGGAAACTAAATAAAGTAAACTGAAAGGGAGATTCTATGTGGAAAGCATAAAGAACTTTCAAAATCCAAAAAAGAAAAAAAGATGAGAAAAACCCACTTAGCAATATACATTGCTATAGACAGTGCAATTCTACTAGGTGCATTTTCAAAAGTTCTAGTCAAGTTGCATGCTATATATTTTAAGAATTAACCAACATGAATAAAATCTGTCCAAAAGAAAAAACGTACATTACTAAATTATTCCAACAAAGTTGAGAAGAGAGACAAACTTATGCAAGTGCATGACACGTGAGGTGACAGTATCTTACTGGTTAGAAATAAATGAAGTTTTGAATTGACCTAAACAAATTTATGCTACCTCAATTGAGATCCATAGTTTCAATTTGAATCATTAAGCGTATGATGAATGGTATTACCATAAGCTGCTGTTTTCTGTATGAAGTTGTGCATGACGCTGTAGCCATCAAAGTAGGAGTAGTTTATGCCTTTGAGCTCTGATTTCAAATTCTTCAACATTGACACAAGAACTCCATTGTACTTAGCAGCCATTTGATTCACATCTGCATTGCATTCTTTATCTGTTTGCTCACTCCTTTCATATGGGGTGCATCCCACAAGCGCAACACCAACAATCACAAATTTTCGACCGCCATAATCATATAAGCGCTGCCAAAACATAATTAATTTTCAGAAATATAATTAAAAATTTAATGTTGACAAAGAAAAAAATTAATTGATACTTTGTAATTTGTTACCTTCACTTGTTGTTTTAGTGTGGCAGCCATGGAGTTGACATACTGCTGGGGTGAGGTCCTGTTATTAATGGAGGAGCCAAAGTAAGTGTAGACGTCATTGCTTCCAATGACAATGATGAAGAGAGATTTTGACAGATGAGTTTGTGCTCTTGACGCTCCTAGCTTTTGCACAAGCTCTTTCTGCACTGCCAAATAGTAGTCTACTTGTTCTCCAAAAGATATTGACTGAGGCTGAGACAAAGAAATAAACAGAGAATCAACATTAATGTAGCTAGATGTGGTGTGGATATGAAGGTTTTCACTTACATATTGTTGATTTGTGTCCTTGAAGATTTTGGCAGCTCCAGAGGCAAAGTTAACACCATTTAGGAAAAGGGCAATGTTGTTGGACTTAGATGCGATGGAGAGATATGGTGGTATGGTTGGTAAGCCCATTTTCTCAGCTGCCCAAAACTCAAAAGGAAAAAGAAAATAAAAAAACGAGTTATGTTATGATAATCAAGCATACTTAATAATTTATTACTAACTAGATGATCATAATTTATAAGCCAAATCCTGCAAATGTTTAATATCTTGTTATGACTCATAACAAGGTTTTATAGAACTAATTAGAATGCTAATTAGTTCTGCACCAACTTCTGTACTGTACCTTAATTAGCAATCAATTACTAATTGTTTCTGCTGCACCTAAGCAAGCAGAGAGTGCACAGAAGCATTTATTTATGACCCAACTGCCAATTTGAAGGGCCTCCTGGACTTTTGGGTGCCATTTTATTAGTCATTGACCTGGTCTTAAAGAGTCCACTCAATCAGGAACAGGAGGAGGAGCTGTGATCAAAATATGATTGGGATATTGGGCCCCAGTTTTCATTGAATCACTAACTAGTTGGACCACATTATGTTTTTGGCACTTGAAAGACCTCCTGTTTCTTCTATTGAAAATAAAAAAGAAGAAGAAAAAAAAAAACTTGGGGTATGTCTTTGAACTTCCTATGGACTAGTAGTAAGTCTCAAATTGCGAGAGGTTAAAACTTGGGGTATGTCTTTGTATCCCAACTCACAACAACATCAATAATTAAGGAAGATACATAGAAATATATATATAGCATGTTATGTTTTGTCAGTCTCGGAATCTAAGTCATTCATCAAATGAAGCGTATATGATGCAAATTTATAGTATGATAACAAATAACCGTTAGGTATAAAAAGGGTTGGTTAAGCTGGAATATTTGGGATTTGGCAAGGTAAAAAGGCAATAAAAACTTATATTTTCCTACTACAAACTTACCAAAATTTAATTAGGGCAGATAGACCTAGTCACAAGTCACAACAAAGATGGTTACTTACCAAGAAGATCTGCAGCATTCTTGCCGTTACAAAATCTCCCAGTTGGTGTTTTGGTAGGAAAATCGATCCCATTGTGAGGAAAATTTGCTTTGGCAAATGAAAACTGGAGGTAGTTGTTGTTGCCCACATCTACTAAGGAGTCTCCAAAAATATACATGGCTGGAACCACCCGAGCCTCTGCAACTCTCAGTGTCAAGCCTCTAAATGTGGAGAAAAAGAAGAAGGAGAACAAACGCAGAAGATGAAGAAAGAAATTGCAAGCCATTGTAGCTACAACTTGAAGGAGCTATCTGCTCCCACTCCCGTGTAGTTTACAGACTTAAATGAGTGAGGCGGTGAGGAGTTTGGTTTACACAATTAAAGAGCACGAGTTAGTGAGGTGCAAAGTTTTGTGTACGGAAAGTCAATGTTATTATTGATAGACTTGTCATATGGGGTCCTCTGAGATAAATATAGGCACTCCATCATAATAGCCTTGCATATGAAGTTGTTGGGATTTTGAAGTCTCTTTCAATTAGAGTCTAAACAACTCATCAAATGGCATCCCATATTTCCATTTGTGATGTTGTTATTGCTTTGCTTTAGAGTTTGCCTTTGCATTGTTTGAGCATATAATTTTATTAGGTTAAAACCATTTTTAAGTTGTTTTTTTAAGAATAATAAAAAATAATACAAGCAATTTAGACTAAACTACAAGAGGAGAGAGGTTTCTCACACCCACACTACCGACATGCCATAGGAATTCTAATATGAGATCACTATCAAGTATCTACTAGACGATTGTAATTTAATTCCTATGGTATTGGTATTCTTGATGATACCTTCTTTATTGTTAAAGCATTTGATTTATGATAAGCTATTTAATGGGTATTCGACTTCAACTTTCTCATATATGGAGATTGAAGGAGATTATATAAGCAACTTATCCAAATGATAGAGAGGAAAAATGGTATTCCATGGAAGATGATTTCTATCGTATGTACGAGATATTTGACATTTTCTTTCTCAATTATCTTGTTACACTTTATATCATATTTATCGAGGAGCTAATATGGTATCAAATAATCTAGCACATTTAGTACATAACTTATGACCACTTTTGTATTTGGCTTTGTAATTTTCCTTCCTCGATTGTTTTTAAACTACATAGTTCTGATCCGAAGAGGAACGTCATTTTAATTTTACTTTGTTATTTTAGAAAATGCATGAATTTTTTTCCTCTTTTTGGAGGCAAGAGAGTATATTCTTTTTGTTAGGAAAAAGAAGCATTTCAGTGATAGAGATTTGTGATATGACACTTTTTTATAGCACTTCAATCAGGCTTCGACATGATCCGATCTCAGATAATGATAGATGTATTAGCAATCAACACTTAACAACTTCCATTATGAATCCCAACTGCATAATCGGAGGTAACCATACTTATCCAAACTATACGAACAATGCATTGCCATCTGGATGGTTGGCAGGTTAGGGCAACCCAAAGCACATTTGTTTGACAATTATTTCCTGGAGGACATATTTGACTGAAAACTCCCAGAAAAAATATCCACAAATAATTTTTGATTTTGTAATTAAACTTGCAGGTTCTTCACATTGATTGGAAATGTGTATTGTGAAGAACCATGAACCATGTAAGGGTAGGATAGTATGCACAAGGGTAAGGGAAATATATTAGAGAGAGATCAAATTTACGTATTATATTGTGTACTACCTCCTCTCTAATAGATGTCGGTTCCATCTTTATTAAAGAGGTGATGCAATAATGTAATCATCCCAACAGTTTATAAAAGCTTTCGCATAAAATGAGCCTTTTTTTTAATTAAAAAAAATCTAAATTATGCAAATTTGCGAACCAAACCGAAGCCTTTTGATTTATAGCTCTAGAGCTCATTTTGTTGACTTGGAAATCGGGTTTGGCTTTTGACACAATTCTTTGATTTCTTAACCACAGCATATTTGGTCTGCAAATTTGCAAAACTTAAAATTTTAAAAGATGCATCTTCTTGTAGAAGCGTGTATGCAAACGAGGCTCTGCATGACACTGTGGCCCTCAAAGTAGGAGTATTGTATGTCTTTCAACTCTGATTTGATATTCTTGAGCACTGATCCAAGAGCTGGATTAATACTTAGCCGACAAGTGACTCATTTCTATACTGCATTCTTCATGTTCGTCATCCACCCTCACAAATGGGATGCATCCAATTGGCCCAACCCCAACAAGCACCAACTTACGAGCATTGTAACTGTACAAACGCTGCATTAAAAAAATGTAACAATTTTCATAGAAAATAAAGAAAATAAGACTAATTTATATGAAGTTTAACGAGGCTAATGTAAACTTGTAACTAAGCAACAATTCAAATTGGCTTTATTTTGGGTCAACGAGTCTAGCCCAATGGAAAAAAGCAATAACTTGTTGACTAGTAGTTTTAGGTTCCAACCCTCATGGTACTGTAGTAGTGGTTCGAACCCACATATCCCTTGTACTAAAACAGAAAAGGCTTTGTTTTTAATTAATTGGATTCTACTACAAATTTAATTTGTTACCTTGATTTGTCCTTGTAGTGTCTTGGCCATCAAGTTAAAGAGGTCATTGCTTCCAATCACAAAGGCAAAGATGGATTTTGAGAGGAGCTTATGGACTGCAGATGAAGATCCTAGCTTTTTCTTCAGTTCTTGATGCACTTCTGCAAAGTAGTCTACTTGCTCTGTCAAAGGTCACTGGCTCTGGGTTAAGCATTATAGGATACAGAAAACGAAAGGGGTCGATCTTTTAATATTTTCTTTTTTCTCTCCCATGATTTTTATTTTTGATTTATTTATTAATTGCCAAAAACAGATTTTGATTAATCAAACATTTATTCATTACCAAAAAAAGATTTGTTTAAACTGAATAGTGAGAATCTCCTAAAAAGGTAAAAAGTGAACATACTTATTAATTGGAGAATAAGACAACTTGAATATTAGCAAGAGAAAAGAAAACTGCTATTGACACTCCAAAATAGTCATCATGCATTCCTCCTTAACAAAAACATAAAAGAGCAAAAAGAGTGACATATAACTATTTTAAGGTGGTTATGAGCATTTATCCTTACGCCCAAGGTCTAAGTTCGATTCCCCTCCTCCCACACCCATATTTAAAAAAAATATATAAAATAAAAAGACAAGGAGCGGAAGATAACTATTTTAAAGTGCTAGTAACAATTCCGACAAGAAAAAAGAATATATAATGTATAATATAAAGCATTGTCACTATCCGATCGCCAAAATAATATTTCAAAATATGTATAGACAGTTGTAAATTATGAATTCTTTCAAGTTTTGATACTTTTTTATTTGATATGTATATCAGATGGAAGCTGTTTAATAAGGAAATAAGCCTTTGAAGTCGCTGAGGAACACTTGAACTGTAACGCATCAACAATTATTTTTTTTTTTTTTTTTTTTTTTTCTTATTTATTTGTTTAGTACTTCGGTTTGATAATATTAACACTATTGCGATGATTTGTTTACCCCACCCCAAAAAAATAAAACAGTGATCTTTAAAAAGTGATAGAGTAGTCTCTTGATAGTCCTATAGATATCAGCCTAACCACCTCCAAATAGTCACAGAACTCAATGGAGGTTGCTTTCTTGATAGTCCTGTAATATCTGTTACAGCCTTCAAATCCATGTAGCAATTGACTACTCAGTCAATTTTTGTCATTTCATATCCATGTGACAATTTGACATATCGGTTGAAGATGTTCTTACAAAGGCTTTTGATAAAGTACATTGACTGCAACTTCATTGAACAGATTGATGATTAGGTAGGACTACTTCTAATGAAAACAACCATCGTTTTTATTCAGCAAAACACGCAGCAGAGATCGACGTGATGATTGATCTCACACCATATTTACATTACAGGGATATTACACAAAACACCATAACCTGAAGATAACTGCCTAACTCTGCCTAAGACTTAACACCAACGGTTCCTTGCACTGGTGCTTTCCGGTAATAGGGTATCAGGTGCGGATGGGGATGCGGATGCATCAAGTTCTCAGCGGAGGGCATTCACAAAAGCCAATAATGTCGCAACATCCCTCTTCTCTGACGGATACTTGATGGGCTTTGATGAGTGCTTGGGGTAAAAACAATATTGTTGGAAAGCTCCCTAACTGCAGCTCTTGTTGTGCATATGCTTTATGTTCCCCATCAGCCCTGAACTTACCCACCTTCACTCCTGTCCCTGCTAGATTCTCTGCTAACTCAATATATGATCCTTCCATTGCCTGCAAATATTTCCGGGGAAAAAGAAAAATTCAAGTGAGACACAGTTGAAAACTCAGCATATTTTGTGCAATTCACACACTATATATGCATGGCAATATCACAAGTAGTATTTACCTGGCAGAATCGGCACCAGGGTGCATAAAGCACAACAAGCCAAGGTTCACTTCGGTTTTCCAATCTAGTCAGGTTCTCTATCCCAGTCCTGCTCAAGGAAACCAAGTTCTTGCTGTTAAAGATATCTGGGACATTTGCACTCCCATTTGTTGCTGAAGTCCCATTTCCATTGCCATTGAGGTGTAGCGCCTCTTCTTTCTTTATGTTTCCTTTATGGAGGCCGCACTCCTTTGCCTCAGCATCCTCCCACCACCATCTTCCTTCCCTTTCATGCTGCCCTGGTAGAACTGGCCTTGTGCATGGCTCACATCCAATTGAAATGTAACCTTGTGAGTGCAAAGGATTGACAGGAACATTCATGACTTGGAGGAAGTTCCATATGTCAGGGCCTTCTACATTGGCAACAGGATTCCATTTTACCAAGCTGCCAATTCCACCATCGATTCCTTCAAATGATGGGTCCACCTGGACAACCGGAATCTCAGCCCTTGTGCCAGGAGACTGATCTTTTCTCTGCCCAGTGATCCAGGCACGGAGACCCTTAAGGGCCCGCCTTAAAGGCCTAACCTTCCTTACTCTGCAGCACTCCTGGTGGCCATCTTCATAGAATGAGAATAATCCTTTGCTTCGCACCAGTCCTTGAACTTCAACAGCATCAGGGAACATGTATTCAATGTGAATGCCATAGTGCTTCTCAACAGTTTCAAAAAACTGGTACGTCTCTGGATTTAGCCTCCCAGTATCCAGGCTAAATACCCTGAAAGGCCGACCAGTTAGTTTGGCATACTCGATCAAGGCGATGTCCTCAGCTCCACTGCAGAAATGAACATTAACTAAATTTAAGTTTTGCTCTTCATTTCTTAGTTACAAACATTTGAAGAGGAGGGATTTGAAACGTGGATCTCCTTCTCCTCATTAAAGGAGATGTGGCTACCAACTAGACTACGTCTCAGCCACATGTGCTGGTGTTCCATGAAAACTCTTTAGACTGGAATAAGAAAACAAATTAGTACTATAAAATGGTGAATATACCTGAAGGCAATTGAACTATCATTTCCAAATTTGACAAGCGCCTTCTCCATAATTTCAAGAGGGGAAGCGTTTTCCATCTCTTTGGCCAGTTTTTCATAGTCTTCTGCTACATTGTTATTGTCAACCTCTGCAGCAGCCACATTTGCAGCAAGTGGAACAACTGATTTGGTCCTGTGGATTTCGGCAGAAATGGGTTTTAGCAACGATGGTATCTGGCAAGAGGGCCCGGCTGTCGATGTGAGGGAGAATTGATCCGATTGACTCACAGAAGATGCCCATGGAGCTAATGGGATTCAAACAATAAGCAAAAAACACATGAGATCCCATTCAATGAAACAAATTAAAGAACAGAGAATGAAAATACCCAAAATCTTAATTCAAATTTTAATTCGAAGTATCTAAGAAACGAATTACTAGGGTTTTTGTTACATCATTTTCATGGGCTGCAGGAAATGGGTCATATATCAAAATCAAATTATTAACATAAATAATCATCATTTCGTATCGCATTTGATTGCATTTTTATTTTTTGCTAATCACATTTTATATTCACACCCAAGAAATACTACGGTTGTTTATTAATAAAAACACCAACTAAATTAACTTAATTCCACTCAACAATAAATACATGAATTCCTTATCAAATAAATACATGAATAAAAAATTCAACAACAAAAATTGCGAAATTGAAAACAGGGAGAGAGGGTTAGAGTGTACCTTTGGGCTCGTGTGAAGAGAACGAAGCGCGAAGCAGAGAAGAGGGAGAAGGAGACGAAGCTGTGAAAGCCATAAGAGAGGAGAGAGAGAGAGAGAGAGAGAGAGTCCGGCTGTGGAGAGCGATGGCCTGGAGAGTAGAAAGAAAAGCAATATAATGGGTTCTGTCGACGAACGTTGGTTCATTGAATCTGGACGCTATTTCGTTCAACACCTCTCTACTTTGTTATTCCACGTGGCTTGTTTATTGGATGGTGTTGTTCGAGTCATCAAAGTGGGATCCTCAAATTATGGTGCCACTTCAAGATGTCAAAAAAAACATTATATTGCTATTGTATTAGAAAAGTGAGCAACGTAAAGGTGAGGGGGGAGAGGGATATAGGTTCTTCATGAAAAGTGAGGGGTAATTAAGAGGGCCCTGCAAGGAATACAGAGAGAGATTATCAAAAGGGAAAGGGGGTTGCGAGCAATAGAGAGATAGAGAGAGAGAGAGAGAAATAAAAAAACTTACGTGAGTTTTTCATATCAAAATATGTAATTCAATACCCTCAAAACCATTTTTGTTTTTGGTGAACTGGCACCTAACCAAAGTCGTTGTATTGAATAGCTCACAATTGAGAGAAAATTCAACCACTGATTTATCAATGCCCTTTTTAAATTACGTTATTGAATAGAAGTAAAGAATCTCAATCTTTAATAATTTTGTCATTATACAATTGTTTTTAAATGAGTCCATTCAACGATGCAAAATATTACAACGGGATAAAAGAATCAATTAAAAGATATAGAGATCCTCTAATTACAACTAGGGGTGCACGACGCGTTTTGGCCTTATTTTCCTTTTGTTCCAAATCAAAGTAGTTGTATTGAATAGCTCGCAATCAAGAGAAAATTGAAACACAAAATAATTATCCATGGTTCCTATATTGTAATTGGAATGGCTCTCGTTACAGTATATATCATTTGTACTCTTTATTCTTATTGATCTAATAAAATTCTATCGCCTTATTATAAATAACTAAAAAGTTCTGTTCTTGATCCTTTTTTTTTCAATCCTTTCTTGTATACGGAAAATAATTGATATTTTGTCTGATACCTAAATTTTTTTTATATAACGCTAAACACACATGCAAATACAAATTAACTAGTTTTTGTTGAGTAGATGTATAAATACAAAAAGAAAAAGGAGAGAGAGACCAAAGTCGAGAATACGACCAGGAATATACAGCATCATGCATGACTCAAATTAAAACGGTCTCAACAAAACTTTTCAAAGAAAAGTCAGGAAAGACCTTTCAACAAAAAGAAAAAGGACAGAGAGACCAAAGAGATATAAATAGGCGACAAACACATATGTCAAACATATACAAAATTGTAATCATACAATTATATTCCAAGCTTTCCTCAGCATCGCCAAATAAAAGAAAATTTTGGTAAGCTCTCTGCGGTTATAGCCTACCCGATGTATATCGTGTTTGTTTGTACTGTGTTTTCAATTTTGCCAAGTGTTGTTACATAGCAACTTAATTATGAAGACTCATCCATCTTCTAATTAGAGTTGTTAATCATGTGGACTTAATTACTTTTGCTACATAGCAACAACAACAAAATGTTTGCATTCATAAATGGAGGGATGCGGTTTTTTTTTTTTTTTTTTTTTTTTTTTTTTTTTTTTTTGTTTTCGTGAGTGTACGAAAAAACGATTCTTTTTTTTCGAAAATACGTCAGTATGCGTATAATATGCGAATTAACCAACTGGGGGTTGTGGTATTATATTTTTCAGTTCTATAGTGCACTTACTAGATAAATGAATGACTAATTATTTCATTGCTAATCACATATATGAATGTTATGAATTAAATATTATGTTAATCAGATTGGATCAAGTATGGAAGCTCGCACAGCACTTCATGAGGATGTGTTAGAATGGGTGAAAAAAGATAGTCGTCGTTTCCTGCGTGTCAATATCAAAGTTGATGATCTTGATTACACCATTAAGTATGCCTTGAACAAAGCTACATATGTGATTTGGCTAAATCTAATCGCATGCAAATTTTATTTTAGGCCTTATCTCATTGTTTAATTTATGTATATTAATAGAGCACTTTATTTGTTCTTATAATATTGACAGGTTTTTACACAGAATTTTTGGGGATGAAAGTGTTGAGTAGAGAACATTTCCCGGAAGAAAATTACTCAAATGCAGTTGTTGGGTTTGGACCTCAAGAGACTCATTTTGTGATAGGCCTCACATCCCACCGTATGTTATAATTTTTTTCACTCCAAAACTTAATTATCTTAATGAAATCCTAAAAGTTAACCTTAAGAAACCCTAAAACTCTGCTTGTAAATCTTCTTCGTGCTTGTTTGATATACCATATTAGACTCTGGATGTGAGTCAATAGTCCATATCAGTTGTTTGATGTCAACTTGTATTATTTAATTACCTAACTATTTTAAACGGTTTGGGTTTTTAGTAATCTCCTTACATGACTAACTAAGAGCATCTCCAACCGATGTGTCAAATTGCCACATGGGTATGAAATGGTAAAAATTGAAGGTTAAAGTTGCTCTAACCGAGTAGTCAAATCCTAGATGGATTTGAAGGCTGAAAGAGATATGTCAAAAATAACATATCAAAATGCTTGATGTCAAATATTATTTTAATTTTTTTTTAGTCATGGACCTCATTATCATTTACTCTCTTTTAAAACTTTATGTATCTATGGCCCCATTTGCTTTTAAAAATATAATAAAATAATATGATATTTGGCATTTCGGATTGAGTTAAATTTTTTCCAAAGTGTCAAATTGCCACATAAGCCATCAAATTCAAATTTAATATTTTGCATTTGACATCTTCCTTGGAGATGCTCTAATACAACCCACACACCTTGGTCTAGATAATAGACGCTTAATTATAAGGCTAGGAAAAAAAACACACGTGAAATATCAAACACTATATTTTCATCTTCTTCTCCCTAGGGTTCTTCTCTGCTATCGTTTCCAGTGATTATTCTCTTCATTCTTCTCCAAGTATATATATATATAGATATATATATATATATATATATATATATACAGTCTCCTTCTATTGAGGGATCCCTCAAATAATTTTATTTGATGGACGCCCTTTAGGGTATCCTATAATTTTTTTTCCAACGATCCAAACCATATACTTTTTAGGTCTTCATTCATAGATCATCCTTACAAAAAATTAGACAAATCGGAAACCGTTTCAACATCCAATTGTGTTTTACAAAATCAATGAACACGGTGCTTCAAGAAAGTACTAAAATTTCAATAACTCAATTGAGTGGTCAAATGATATCGGATTCAAGTGATTTTTTGTAGAGATGATCTTTGAATGAGTATCTACAAAATAGACGGTTTGGATTAGTGAAATACAATCCATGGTGGGGTCTACAAGGGGTGTCCCTCAAATAAGCTTATTTGAGGGATCCCTCAATGGAAGCTCTATATATATATATATATATATATATATATATCCAGATTCCTGATTTTTTATATATTAATTTTTTGGTCAAAATCCCATATTCCAATTTTAACTTGAGGGGTTTTGCATCAATGATATGATGGGCCGGCGAAGAAGACAATGAAGGAAGCAAATAGAGGGAAGAGATAATCGGGAGTGAGGTTTCTTGTTTTAGTATTAAGCAGCCGTTGAATGTATTTAATGGCTAAAATAATTTGTCAATGATTTGGCAAAAACAAATGAAAAACAATTTTGTCATATGAATCTTATCAAAAAAATTCATGTAATTTGAATTTCAATTTCCACTTAAATTATCAAAGAATTAAAAATAAATAAATAGTCTAATATGATATTATCTGACATAGCACCAAACACAGTACAACTTAGTCTAACTATTTATCTGGAACAACACCAAACGTCTTATAATATTATGGATAAATAGTTAGTACTCTCCAAAACATATTAATACTATCCGACAAAAATTAGTCAATACAGCATGACATACCAAATAAGCCCTTCTTGTTATCTTAATCCACAGAGAATGAAGCAGACAAGTTAGAGGTTGGAACAACCTTCAATCATTTTGGAATCGCAACCCAAGATGTGAGTATCACTCTATTTATAATTTTGTGCCCCTGATATTTTTAAACTTTTAGAAATAGTGACCGTTAATTGGGTAACACTTTTATTCTTGGTTTATCTTTAGATTTATAATATAGTTGAAAAAATTCGAGCCAACGGAGGAGTGATCACTCGCGAACCAGGGCCAATCGCAACTGGCGGGACCATATTCGCCTTCGTGAAGGATCCCAACGGCTACACTTTCGAGCTCCTCCTGAGGCCACCAACTCCAGCACTTTGCCAAATATGCCTTAATGTGTTTGATATGGATCGCTCTATTGAGTTCTACAATAAGGTATGCCTACTCTCTTATTAGAAATATTAGCTTTTATTCATAACAAATTATAATAACTTTTCTTAATTAATCTCATATTTGATCTACCCATGCAGTCCTTGGGCATGAACCTACTACTACCAAAGTTTAACGCTACTGAAGAGCAGGTAAACTTCTTTTTTTTTTTAAAAAATTTTAAATATGCAGTATAAGAACGTGGAATTCAAACTTAATGCATTTTCCAACAAAGTAAGGAGAAACGTCAAAATATTGTATGTAATGTCCAACCTTAACTCTTCATTTGGATGAAGGAATTGAAAATTACATAGAATTCTAAAATGACATAATTTAGATTTCCATCATTTTAATTTCTGGCAATTGAAGATTTCAGTGTTTAGGGTTTATGTATGTTGAATTTTGTAAATGGCACTATGGAAATTGTGAAATGACGTCTACTTTGGTGGAAATTAAACTCGGGAATTTGATGTCTTAATTTCCATGATTTTTTCAGCGTGTCATTTAATAAATTCTGCGCTTAAGTTGCCAAACAAAGGAATTGTCAATTTCTCCTCTTAAATTCCCGACTTTTAGCGAAATTCTGAATTATTTTCCCTCATCCAAACAGAGCGTAATAGTTATTAAAAATACAACTGTTCCTAATTAACCCGAAACAAATCTTATATTTAATCTTTCTTCTTTTTTTTCGGCTTCATGTGGTGCAGTATACTCTAGCTATGTTGGGTTATGGATCCAATTTTACTGAGACAACTATTATCGAGTTGAAATACAATTATAACGTGACCCAGTATACCAGAGGAAACGGATATGCACAGGTGAGCAAAAATAAAATAAAAATTCTCTGTCTTTTTGTTTGTGCCTTGTTCATTGATTTATATTTTCTAATCTTTTTAAATAAATAAATGTATTTCAAGGTTGCTATTGGCACTAATGACGTATACAAGAGCGCAGCAGCTGTTGAACTGGTTACCAAGGAAGTTGGAGGGAAAATAATTCGTCCACCAGGGCCAATCCCACAAATCAAAACCAAAATCACTGCATTCCTCGACACAGATGGCTTTCAAACAGTAAAAGCCCTTTTCTCTTTTTTGGGTTTTTCTTTCAGTTAATAAAAAATAATTTTATACTTCTTTTAGAACAAGCTTACAGAACCCTCCTTTGTTAACCTCTGTAGGTGTTGGTGGACAATCAAGACTATCTTAAAGAATTGAAGAAATAGTAACGTTACAACTATAAGATCGGATTCATGGCATGCTTATTAGGTTCCCCTTTCTACATATGTATTTTTTAATAAATGTTTGTCAGTTTAGCCATGTAGCTGTGCAAACCTTAATTTCTCTATGTACCTTGTAATTCATCTTTCAAATCTCCTTTCAATAACTTTTTGAAGCCATCTTCATTGCATTCTCTGTGAAGTATGATCTTCAATTCCGAACAGAGTGCCAAAACTTCATAAGGATCCAAGTGCTTAAAAATCTCTGGGTCTCGATCGTAATCCTGACAGCATGAAATTTATATCAAAGAAAGAAATAATGAAATGAGGAAGTCGGGACGCTCTACATCAATTCAATTCAAAGGGAAAGGGCAGGCATCCCTCCCACAGATCTGGCCAGCGCCCCATTAACTTAAACTAACCAAGAAAACTATTTAAGAAAATGTCTAAGAAAGAAAATAACGGGACTGATATGCTACTCACCTTTTCTGTGACGATAACAACTGGCTTGTGCCCAAACATGTCCTCCAGCTCTCTTAGTCTCCTCCCGATCATCTCAATATCCTAGATTTGCCACAAAATGACAAAAGCTTGAGATACCAGATTACCATCTAAATCAACATTTAGCTAACCCTCGGGGTTATATTCTGTTTTAATGTAGCTTTGCACACCATATACTTGTGTTTGATCAGCAGATTGAAATTAGCTTATATTGACGAGATTATACTAATGACAGAAAAACAAGTCTTACATCTTGTTTCTCATTTGGGGAAGGGAAAGGGCCGTGAATGTAAAGGGATAAGGGCTCTACTACGTAAGCTAGAAGCCCCACATATATTTTACATTTTACTTATGCTTATTTTACATTTTACTTATGCAGTAAGCATATTAAAATATAAAGGTGTCTGCCCCATCATTTGGTTCAAAAAAAGACATTGCACATGACAAGAATCTCATGTCAAAGAAGTGGAAGATTAAGTGGTACCTTGGCCTGAAATATGTGATGATTGCTGAATTCAAGGCGATCAACATTGAATGCTCCTATCTGCAGCAAGTTCTATTCAATTTAGAGATGGAAGCACATATAGGAGAAACAAGCTAAGTAGTAAAGAAATAAGCGGTGCCCACAGAATTTGTCGCCAGAACAGAAAACGACATGTATGAAGTTTGTTAGCATCTCCAAGATGCAACAAAGGAGAAGTGACCTTCTCAACTCCCTTCACAAATGCATTTGAAGAACCAATGGCAGAAACACATAATACAATGCTGTTAGACAAAGCCCTCAGAGGTTTTCTGGAGTTGACATTTCCCACGTCAAAGAAATAACAGGGATCCATTTTAGTGAAGAAAATAGGAAGAGATTTATTAACTTCTCGTAGCATCAAGTCAATATCTTTGAGATCTTGTTCTGAAAGCTGTGAGATTCGCAAGCACAAACTTTTGTGTCAATTACAGACTTTCACTGGCTAACATACACAAGGGCTGAGACAAAATCTTTAACCCACTCTTTTTAACGGAAAAAAAGAAGAAGAAAAGATAAGTTTATATACCAAATCTGCATGATGGAGTACAACAACATCTGCCCGTCTAAGCGCATTGAAAGGCTCCCTTAACGGTCCACATGGGATTAAGTGACAGTTGCCCCATAGTGTTAATCCGCTAACCATTACAATCTCTAGATCACGCTGCAAGCTCCAGTGCTGTCTTCCGCATATTTATCAAATAAAGTAAATGCATAGCACCTCAATGAACACGAGAGACCATTATAAGCAAAAATAGCAACCAGGAGTGGGATAGCAGATCCTCTAGGTCACCAATTCATGAAGTAATGGCAGACTAGCACCCAAAACACATATATAAAAAATTAAGAAAAAGGGAAAAGATTGACAGACAACAAGAAGCTCCACATGTTAAAATATCTCAACAACATGTTAAATTTTGATTCAGGCCAATTTGGCCTGTCCCCTAAACTACTCTATTAATAACCATAACAGCACCCTTTCTTTTGCTATCCCACATTAAGGGTATAGAACATTGTCTAAGTTATACTCAGAAGATCGCATACCACTACTTGGTAATGACTTGCGTGAAAAAAACTGCATCTTACGTCCCAAAAATGGAGGAAGAAGGAAAAATAAATACAGATAAAATATACAATTATACCTGCATTCCATCGTCAAGAATTACAGCACCATTTTTTTCTGAACTAAGATGACGCCCCACTTTCTGTTCAAGGCACAGTCCATCAGAGTGTTTACTCGTAGAGCAAGGATCAACATAACCATATCTTTCCAAAAATCGAGCAGCAACCGCTGCTCATTTTGCACCCACACCAATCTTTACAGGCCTTCCAAGTAAATGCGTACGAAGCATTTTGGCTTCATCCCCACCAGCATAACCCTGCCAACGGAAATATCACTTGAAATTTCATTGACACTTTAAATCCAACATGATGTCATGATGATCGATAAACATTAAACAATATACAAATGAAAATTAAAGTAAAAGTACCCTAGTAAGAATGAGAGGTGAAATTCCTGAATCAGCTAAAAAGAGAGCAATGAACTCCGCCGTCGGAGTTTTCCCATTGCCTACCCATGTCAAATTCCCAATACTGATCGCTGGAACCGGCAACCTTCCAATTCAATAATTTCTTCTTAACTAAAGCTACAATAAGCAAATAACTATACAGATAATAATCATTTCAAGCAAGAGCTCTGCCTCGATTCCATCTAAATTGGCATGATTGAGCTGAAAATGCGAGAAATGCAATAAAATTTCAAAACAATACCTACGGACAAACGCTTTATGTACTGTTTGGTTGAGCGGAAAATGCGAGAAATGCAATAAAATTCAAGAGATCGCGTTAAAATTGATAAAGCACAACTGAATTCGACTTATAGCCTCTAGCGGTATCCGTCTCAATTCAGTCAAGGTCCAAAATTGTTTTGTTTTATTTTCCGACCAGCAAAAAGAATAGAAAGAAGGAAGTGGAGATTGGAGGAGAGGTACTACCGGTGCTTTCTGAAGAGGCCGTAATGATAGAGAGAGAGAGCGAGCTTGTAGAAGGAGGAGGCGCAGTGGAGGACAGGTATCAGAGAGAGTTGAAGATGAGTGAGCTTAGCGTGGTTCTGAGTGTAGGCGATCTCGCTCACTGCTTTTCTCAGTTTCTCCATGGACGACGGCGAAAGAGCCAAGGAGAAGATGAAAACACCGGGAAAGAGAGGGAAAGAGCGAGGGTTTCAGTTCAATTTAATTTGATGCTTACTTTGTAGGTAGGGGTGGCAATATGGCTAGAAACCCGCACGATAATTTAGCGGGTTTAATCCGCACGATTAAAATTTGGGTCATTTTCGAGTCAACTCGCCATGATCCGTTAATAAACCGGTGGGTTTTGGATGAACCCGCCAACCCGCTAAAATACATATTTAACCCGTTTAACAAAATGGGTCATGACGGGTTAACCCACCAACCCACTAAAATACCTATGTAACTCGACAATCTATTAAAATACCCGTGTCCCCAATCAAGAAGTACCTCCTTAGTCGAGAACTTGGGGGGACTCATGTTTGTACCATATCTGGCCAAACACTCCCAAATCATTCCAAGCAAAGGGAAGGGAGTCTCACATCGACAAAACACAAGAAGAGGAGACTCCCCTTTACTTATAAAAGGATACCCCCTCTCCTTCAAGAAGGGGACTTGGCTTCTAGGGCTCTATATTGCCCATTAGGCCTTCATGGGCTGACCTATGAGCCCATTTGTTGGTCCCTAGATTCTTGGTCTTCAGCCCAATCCTTCTCCTTCAACCTTCAACCTTCAACCTTCGGCCTTCTTCCTCTCTTCTTTGGGTCTAACACCTTGTACAATGTAAACACACATTATTATAACGAGAAGGTACTTCTTCGTGGACGTAGCTCATTCATTAGGGTGAACCACGTACATTTGTCTTCTATATGCATGTCAACTTTCTTTTTTGTTGTCACCTGCTTAAGACAACAACTTGCCTACCGAATGCTCACACCTATTGAAGGTCCTCATCTTCATTCATCATCCATCGCATCATGTCTCTAAGTTTAGGCCATTATTGGTCATCCAATTTTGAGCACAAACAGTTCCAAATCAAAGTAGTCATATTGAATAGCTCACAGTTGAGAGAAAATTCAAACACAAATTAATTACCCATTATTGCCGTATTGTTATTAAGATGACTCACTTTACAGTCTGTGTCATTTGTACTCTTTATTCTTATTGATATAATAAAAAAATTTCGTATATATATATATATATATTTAACATCATGATCTCTTTCATAAGTCATAACTCATTTAATCAATTGATCTAGATGAGGACAAAAAGAACTAACAATTTTTATTTTTATTTTTTTGTCGTCGTAGTCAAACCCGGCCCTAAGCTAGGGCAGTTCAGGGCCCTTGATCAATGGAGAGCCTCAATTTTATATGAGAACATATTTGTTTTTAGGGCTTTTCATTATGAGGCTCATTCTAACATCCCAACATATTTGGATATAAAATCCCAAAATTAGCCACTTGTTATTTTCTAATTGGTTCTTAGAAAATTTTAACACACAAATAGCCAATTAAAAAAATGATAAGTGGCTAGTTTTGGATTTTTTTTTCCTCCAAATAGGCTTTATATAGGTTTTTGTAAAATATGTCATGTTAAAATAGGTTTGTTTGTAAAAAAACCTATTGATGGTACTACTTATATAGATAACTATAGCATTATTAATCAGGCTGACTCCAGCATCAATGGTCTAGGCAGTTTTTAGTTCAATCTAACCCAAGTTCAGATCCCAACATTGTAAATGGTTCTTCTTAGTTCTTTAGTTCTTGTTTTTTTTTTTTTTTTTTTTTTTTTTTCAATCCTTTTTATACAGAAAATAAATTATATTTTGTCTGATACCTAAACTTTTTTTATTTATTTAAATAATTCTATACACACATATGCAAATAAAAATAAAATAATTTTTGTTGAGTAGAGGCATAAATACATATGGGCCTTCAAAATCTGAGAATCGGCACCGGTTTAAGTCGAGAATATGACTAGAAAAATACATCATGCATTACTCAAATGAAACGGTAGCCACAAAACTTATAAAGACTTTTTGTAAGTAAGTGACTTTTATGGAGTTGACTAATTCTTAATGACTTTTACATATTTTATGGAGTTAAGTTATATACTTTCATATACTTTTATCATAGAGTTTTACATACTTTTATCTACTTTTTTTAAATTTATTTATGAATAGTATTTATCTTTTTAATATTTATCATAGAGTAGTATAACGAAAAAAAAAATTGCTTATAATATTTATGTTTTGTATGGTGAATTAACTAGTCCGCATATGGAACAAGTAGCCAAAAAAAAAAATTACAATTGGATACAATTGTGTAAAAGCAAAGAAATATTTTTCCATGTCTAAGAACTTTTCACTTGAGAACAATGTCAAGTATGGAGAAAATGAGGTTGTTGCTCTTGGATGCAACTCAAATTCTGGTTTGGCTCAGAATATTGCCTCTATTAGTGGTTCTCCTTTATCTGATAACCTTGGTAAGTATCTTGGAGTTCCGTTAATTCACACTAGAGTTACAAAAGATACTTATCAGGAAATTATTGATCAAGTCCAAAAACGCCTATCTTCTTGGAAAAGCCACACGTTATCTATGGCTGGCAGGCTCACGTTATTGCAATCAGTCACCTCGGCTATTCCTATTTATTCTATGCAAACTGCTATGTTGCCTGCTTCTGTTTGTTCCAAGCTGGATCAGTTAAATAAAAATTTTCTTTGGGGGCATGCCTTTGATAAGGCTAAGGTGAATCTCGTGAATTGGGAAACTGTGTGTAAGTCTAAATGTGCTGGTGGTTTGGGAGTGAAAAAGGCTGCTTGGATGAATCAAGCTTTATTGGCTAAATCTGGTTGGAGACTTCTTCAGAATGACCAAGGGCTTTGGGCCAAAGTTCTTAAGGCTAAGTATTTAAAAAACTGCGATATGTTGTCTGTTAATGAGCATCAGTTTCGTAGTTGCTCTAGCAGCTGGAGGGGTGTGTTATTTGGTGCTAAGCTTCTTCCCTCTTGTGTTAAATGGAGAGTAGGTTCTGGTGATTCCATTTTATTTTGGACTGATATTTGGCTAAGTTGTGGTGCTCTTATAAATTATGCCCTCATTGATTTGTCTGAGGAAATGCTCCAGTTGAATGTGAGTGATTTTTTGGAAGACGGTTTGTGGGATATTGCTTGCTTGCAAGAGTGTCTTCCTCCTCATATTGTGCTGATGATTACTAGTATTCATGCTGGCTTCATTAATAGTGGTCCTGATATGTGCATTTGGAGGTTTACTTCTAATGGAAATTTTTCTGTGAAATCTGCATATTAATTGTTTTGTCCAGTTGAGGCTGGTTCTAATTGGCATTGGGAGTTTATTTGGAGGTTGCGGCTGCCTCCTAAGGTTAAGTCCTTCCTTGGGTGCTTTGTCACAAAAAACTCCTTACTAATGCACAAAGGCACCGTAGAGGTATGGCAGTTTCTACTTCATGTCCTCGATGCATTTATCCTGTTGAATCTGTTGAGCATTTGTTTAAAGGTTGTAGTTCTTCCTTTTTAATTTGGAACCAGTTTGGTAGTTGGTTTGAGGAATCCAGTGTTTTGTATCCTAATTTTGATGACTGGCTCTTCCATAATCTGCATTCCAAGAGATCTTTTTTGACTGGTTTGGCTTGGAATTTGGTGTTTGCTGTTAGCCTTTGGTTTATCTGGAAATGGCGATGTAAGTTTGTTTTTTAACATGGTTTTTTGCTTCCCTCTGAGCCGCAGCAGGTGATTCTGCAGTATGCTAAGGATTGGTTTACAGCCACTAAGCCTATCTTTGTTCCTCTTCATCAGGGTGTAGTTTATTTTCATTGGCAAGCCCCTTTGCCAGGGAGGTGTAAGGTTAATTCTGATGGTAGTTGTAAGCATGCTCTTGGGTACATTGGAGCTGGGGGTCTGTTAAGAGATCATGCTGGTAATTGGCTTAAAGGTTTTTCTGTTAATTTGGGTGTTGGGTCAGTGATTGAGGCTGAGTTATGGGGAATTTTTTGGGGGCTCCATTTAGCTTGGGAAGCTGGGTTTCGTAGTGTGGAGGTTGAATGCGACTCTAAGTCTGTTGTGGGTTTGTTGCTGAATCCTCCTAGTCATAACCATCCTCTTTTTAGCATTATCAATTGCTGCTATTTGCTGACTCAGAAGGACTGGTGCTCTTCTGTCAAGCACATTTTTCGTGAGCAGAATTTTGTTGCTAATTCTTTGGCTTCTATGAGCCATGATCTTCCCTTGGGTTTGCATATTTTGGATTCAGCTCCTGGTGTGGTTGTTGATCTTCTTGCTGTTGATGCCAGAA